ATTAGGTGAGTCACAAGAAACACAGCAGGTAGAGCGAGGTGATTATGCAAAGAAAAATAGATAAAAGTAGAGCAATAACGAGAGTACGCGAAGAGCGCGCAATACATTCGAGAATACATACATTGCTTTGTAAATGTACTAACTTTTTTATATCTATCTCTTTGTTTGTCGTTATTAAACAGCGCCACGATCCTTTGCTCGCAGAATGAACAATATGAACAAAATGATCACACTTATATTAACATGATTGTTGACACCTTGTGGACATACTACAGCTAGTAGATTGAAGAGACAGCTTGTGCTGATTATACTTCACAGCTTACTGAGTAAGATCGCGTGATGTTAGAGAGAGGGTGTACTATGACATACCTACTTATTTTTGGATTGTTTTAACCCTTACTAAAGTCAAGTAAAATGGAAGAGTTACCGCTAATGTTGTAAGTTAGAGACAAGAGGCAGGGCACAGATTAGGAAGTTGGAGCAGAGTGAGGAAGACTGTCCCGAAACTTGTGGAAGGCCGTCCTCGTGTTGCTTGATGGCTCAGAATTATGTTACGCGCTTATACTAGTACGCTAGCGATTCCATGTAGATGTTTGCGGTGAGAGTGATCGGAAGGCTCAAGTTGCTCTCATACGGCTGTATTCGAGAGGATTGGGCTGATATCTAGCACTAAACTGGTTCTCGACGACAAACGTCATAGCGATGATTAACACAGAGAGATATAACAGAGTACACCATAACATTCAAAAACACTATACATTGTAATGGCGTGAGGTAGCTGCACAGACCCAGATGCTCACGATTCTCACCGTTTCAAATGCTGAACATCGAAGAAAAGCTTCATTACTCGCTTAATTAGTCTGTAATGGCCACTCGAATCTGACGAGTTGTGTACCAGAAACAAATTCCGTTTGTTAAAAAAAATCCTGTTGGAAAGAAATTTCAGAGAACTCTGCACTTCAGAGGGAGTAATGTGTTAACAGAGGGAGCTTCAGCGTTGGTGTGACATTGAGATCTCATGCTGTGATAATGCTCGCTAGTGTACCAACGTGTATTTTCGGTTCTCATGCCACGCTCAATCGGGGTCAATTCACCACCTTCTTATTCCTCACATGTGAAGAAGAGTGCTCGTGGTTTCAGATAACGGTAAAGAGTAATTGAAATCTCTTGTGACCATGTCTCTTTTCTTGTCTCATGGAAATCATTGTTAACAACAAGCCGGCCACGGCAAATCGAATCGCTGAATGTCTGAGTGGACAAAACCTCTTTTTCAACAAAATCGTTTAAATCACGGTACATTTGTGTTACCCTTGGTCTTGCGAGCTCCTTCTCGTTCTCGTCTTGTTGGCTGTTTCTTCATCTCTCACATCTCTTATCAATAGCTCGAGAGGCGTGAATGTCAAGTCCTGAGTGCTTTGGCAGATCTTGAAATATGCAGTACAAAGTCGCGCATAGTCTAGCAGCTCGCAGTGTGAGAGGAAGTTAGTCTTGCTAGATATAAGTATGCGCGATAATATATTCCTTATTTATGATAGTTGAGTTCTCTAACAATTAGAGTATATATAATTCAGTCTGTTTGCTCCAAGTTAATGTTTTGATATGCTTTCTCAGTCTTTTTTTGCTAACACACAGATAACTACACCATATTATAACAAACTTGTGCTCAGTTAATGTTGAGACACTGTCTACTCTATGGTCTAAGACAAGCAACGCACACGAAATAAAGAGATCGTATAGGCTGACTATTAAGGATAGGCTACTGCCGAGTAAATAAAGAAACAGTAAGCCGCGAAAAAATGAGAACAAGACCGGAGAAGAGGAATCGACGTTTCGTGGTTTACGCTGTTGTCGCGCCCATGCAAGGACGCATACCGAGTTCCAGAGAAATGATGAGAGATGACGTAGAGAGCTTAATACTACCTGGTGAAATGACTTGAGTGAGTAGTCACCGTGGCTCTATGAACGCTCGACATACGGAAGCAGATAGGTACTCGGCCTCGAAATGAAGCGCCCCATGCCCTCTCGGCACCGTTAAACCTCGTCTTGAGCTAGTGCACGAGGACGGTAACCAGTACTATGAGTCGTAATGGTCCTATGTAAACAGAAACATTAGGTTATCAGTTCGCGACTCATACAGCCCTGCTTAGATTGCACAGAAATAAGATTTGAGGTCGGCACGTCATAGAGCTAAGCTGCTGAGAGTATTGAGCACGGGCGCGTGATTGTTCTTTTCTTGAGAGTTCATCGTGAGAGAAGGGAACACATTGTTATTATGACACTACTTAGAGAATCTGAGCCTACTTATACATCCACAGCCATATAGATAAGCGTAGCCCACTGATGAGGCGTGACACGACCAAACCGAAAAGCCACGCAACACTTCTATATTTTATCTATATCTCTGCTCTTTGGTCGGCACGAGGAAATTATGAGAGTAAGATGTCCTCTGTGCTTATTGAAGTGCAACCAATTAGACGTCTTGGTGAACTTGGTTGAAGTGACTGATAGGACATAGTTCATACATCATTGAGCACTAGACCATGGGTAACAAATAATTAAGCCAGATGGGGTGACAATCGAGGAACGACAGTCCATCTAACACACATGCATCATGATACGAGAAACACGAGTAAGTATTATGAGTTAAGAGAAGAAGATGAATGAAGATCGCTCGCTCATTGTAGAGTGCTGTGATGCATGAGAAGCTAAAGTTAGCAGCTGACTGTGAGTTAGTCTGAGGTCGAGTAATCTATGTCTACTATCCGAGAGATTTGACCTGTCTGATCGTAGGTCATTTTGCGCCACAGCACTCCTATGTGGAGCCAGTGAGGTGACACGTAGTTACTTGACATCACATGCTCTCTCTGAGTAGCGCGTAGTGGACTGTGACCACCCAAGCAGATGAGTGCGGAGTTGAATCTTATTTCGAAGGTCACAGTCCTACATAGTTGCTGAGAGTAGGATAATTCTTGCCTAATCTTCATCACACCACATTCCTTCTTAACTTCACATCACCAGCAACACTCGGATTACACATGTACATCACTCATCCTCATGCATCCCTCCTCCCAGCCTGACCTCGGTATACTGTTCATATGAAATACAGGAGACTGCGAGGAGAGGGACAAGCAAGGGTAATTCATCTTAGTTGATGTCTGTAAAGGAATGTGGTACATCGACTGACAAACAGCAGTGGCGGACACGGTTGTCGTGAGCGTAGTTCTGTGGAATGTCATGCGAGATTCACACTCCATCAGGTCTCATGCTGTACCGCTTATCCTAGGACTAGCGGAACTATGCTGCTGCTCATCTGGCCACTAATTGTTATGATGTGTCCTTATATCAGGATTTCATCGGAACGGATATATACATCACTCTCTTTATCCCAAAGGTGGTAATCTCGTGCTGACGACAGCTTTATCGTGATCTCCATGCCCGTATATGCTGTTCTAG